ATATACACATACATACACACACACACACATTTATAAATGTATGCATATAAAATAAATCAGTATAACTCACACAAACAGAGAGAGAGACATTCACTTACACACAGAGAGAGAGAGAGAACGACAGACTTGCAGGGAGAGAGGGAGGATCCGCAGCGGCTCCAGTGACACAGCATTATTTCACAGCATCAGAGAGAGAGAGAGACGCTCTGCAGTTTCCCAGCATGCATCGGTGTCGGCACTGAAGGACAGGCTGTACCTCACAGTGAGTCTCTATGAGAGTCTCTCTCTGAATGCTCTGAGCGTGAAGAACGTGCCACGGTGAGCCGATCCCGAGGGCAGATTCACCACAGAGAACATCATGTACACGACTCCTTACACTGGAGAATTAAACATCACATCCCAAACACACTGAACATATATATTTGCCAATTTTCAATAATTAATATGTCGATGCTGTGGGCACTTTAAAGGACCAGAAATAATTATTTGGTATTTTAAGATTGTTGTGTTAGTCGTGGTTCATCACAGCGGTAAATCTCTAATAACAGATTTGTTTTCTCTTTACCATGATGACCGCGTATAATATTAGACTAGATATTCTTCAAGATACTAGTATTCAGCTTAAAGTGACAAGGGTAGAGTTAGGGTATTTAGGCAAGTCATTGTATAACAGTGGTTTGTTCTGGAGACAATCCAAAACTAATATTGCTTAAGAGGGATAATAATATTAACCTTAAAATGGCTTTAAAACAATTAAAAACTGCTTTTATTCTAGCCGAAATAAAACAAATGAGACTTTATCTAGAAGAAAAAATATTAAAGGAAATACTTCCTGAATCTGTTCAACATCATTTGGGAAACATCTGAATAATACTTAATTTCACAGGAGAGCGAATAATTCTGATTTCAGCTCTTCGTACAATAAGCCAACACCTCTGCCCTGCTGCTGTCTGATACTAGAAAGCATGGTTCCCTTTGACACGTCAACGCGGCCACCATCTATTATAATGTTTGTAGGTGGGCTACTGCCAGTCTCTGTTCAAGATTTGTTTACATACATGAATGTGTGAAGTATCACATGCAATGCATTAAAATTCCACTGATTTCCTAAAAATAAGCTTTGCACTTGTGGATAATCCAGAGCAGCTCTTTGATAATGAGCTGAACTCTCTGTCTTCTCTATGCAGTGTGGAATGAACTCCCTAACTGCATCAGAACGGCAGACACTCTCGCTGTCTTCAAGAAACGACTAAAACTCAACTATTTAGTCTCCACTTTCCTTC